GCTCTCTTGTAGTGGAAAGCTGCATCGCCATACGGAGGATTCCTCATGACACACGACTGCAGCAGTGTAGGTTAGGGTTAACAGTCGCAGCTGCTCTTACCGTTATATGAGACATAACAATCTCATATGCATTTCAAGCTGCAGACGGAGGCTGACTGCAGAGCTGCCTCTTCTGCTGGAACGGTTGGATTATCCCACCCAGCGTCCAGATGACCAGGACCCCCCGAGTATAGGGCTGTTCTTACTTTCATCATTAATCTCTCATTCGTTTCCTCGATTAATTGATCAGTTGTTTGGTCCATAAAATATCAGAAAATAGTAAAGTGTGCTCTGATGAACAGTTGAGCTAACTTCCTCCGTTCCTGCACTGCACTGTTTTTAAAAGACATATTGATCTGATCTACATTCATTGTTAGCTAACTAGTTATATCTAGTGGCTAATGTTGATTGATGCTGGCTAGAGTTTTGCTAACTTTAGCTAACTTAAGATCTGACTGTATCACTTTACCCTTTTAACCATCTTCAAAACCTTGGCTGACCTTTCAACACTTAACATATAGCGTCTCTAAAGACAGTTAACGGAGGTCACAAAAGAAGCGATTAATTTAATAGTTGACAACTCATCAATTAATCGACTAACTGTCGCAGCTCTGCCCCATATATCTATATATTCACTGTATGTCAGCTGATTTATGGTAATTTGATGACCTCGATGTTTGCCCCTCCAGGGTAAACTGACCAAACAGATCTACTCTAATCTTAATGCACATTTAAAGTTATAATAATAGGTTTAAGTTTCTTTTACCTTCTATTGTTTCCAGATATATTAGTATAACTGTTGGTAATTTCAGTAGGCTAATAATATCACAGTTACCCCCCCTAAAGTAACTAGTTACAACCTTACTTTTGTGTCATCCCAACAATCCAATCACATCCTTGGACCAACTGTTTGGGGAGTAGCAGAAAAGTAATATAACTAGTAGTGTAACTAATTTGGCAGGGAGTAATTATAGAAGCCCATTTTGGCCAGTGATGTAAAAAATGTGTTTATAATGAGAAACTTTCTCAACATTTTGACTTAATATCTCAAATAAGGTTTCTCAGATACTATATATTATTTTGAGTTTCTCATAAAACTTCATACAGTAATTATTTTTCACATTGGTAACAGCCTAAGTAAAGTAATATTATTACCCCCAACACTGATTGTAACACAGTTTTTATAAGTTTGGTGATACATGTAACCGTTTTAGTTTTCAGGTGAAAGTTTAAATAAAGTTTTTTTTGGGACAAAAGTAATAAATTAGATCTATCATAAAGAAGTAGGAAACAGGAATGTCAGTTCTCCAATAATCCAACAGGATTATCAATCAATTAACTGATCAGTCAATAAATTAGGCAGCCATCAGACCCCCCCTCTCTCTTTCCACACACACACACACACACACACCCTCACACCCTCCCTACCAGTCGGTTGCACATTGCAGAGTACCGCACACCTAGACATCCATCCACACCGAGACTCTGCTGCTCTCTCTCTCTCTCTCTCTCTCTCTCTCTCTCTCTCTCTCCCACCACCCCCCCACTCCCCTAAAAAAAACCCGGCAAGCTTTCAGCCTTTCCTCCCCGCCTCACCATGAGCCATAAGCCGCTATCACCACCAGCCTGATGTCGCTTCTCCTCGACGGCGCAGCACTCCCACACCGCCGCCCGGAGCCACCGCAGCAGCAACGGCAGCAGCGGCGGGCGGAGGACTGTGTGGATATCAACACAGACAAGTTATGGCAAATGAGAGGCGGACAGAGGGGGGTGTGCCCTGCCTTAGCAGCCGGAAACGAGCTCCCAAAGTGCCCGGTTGCAGCTCAGCCTCATCAGAGAGCCGATGTGCACGCACGGGGGGACGGTCATCACACCTCGCACGGGGGGAAAAACGGAGACGGTGGGTCGCTGGAGGAGGAGGCGCTGAACCGGGTGCAGGAGGAGAGTTTGCTCATCGACTCCGACACCGGGTTGGATGCGCGTCTGGGCAAGAAGAGACACCGGCGCAGCAAGACCTCCAAGAAGAAGCGCAACTGGAAGCCTTATTACAAACTTTCCTGGGAGGAGAGGAAAGCGCTGGAGGAGAAGGAGACCGCCAGGGCTTCCCGGGTGAGGGAGGAGATGTTCGCCAAAGGGCTCCCGGTGGCGCCCTACAACACCACCCAGTTCCTGATGGACGAGCACGACCGGGAGGAGCCGGACCTCAACACCGAGAGCGGGGTCCGGAGACCCTCCGGGGTCGGGGGCCGCATGGAGGACACGGGCAGCGAGGAGGAGCTGTGCGACAACGAGGTGACCGACGACGACGACGGCAGCGGCGGAGGCAGCGACGGGATCGGGAGGCCCGGGAACGCAGGTGGGGAGTTTCTCCAGAGAGACTTTTCCGAGACCTACGAGATGTACCACGTCGAGAGCCTGCAGAACATGACCAAGCAGGAGCTGGTGCAGGAGTACCTGGAGCTGGAGAAGTGCATGTCCCGGCTGGAGGAGGAGAACAACCGGCTGAGGCTCGCCGTGGAGCCCGGGGGTCCCACCGTGGAGGGCTCCCTGGTCCGGCTCGGGGAGCTGGAGAGGGAGCTGGAGAGACTCAGGGCCCAAAACACGGAGCTGCTCCTGCAGAACCAGCCCGGCACGGACCGGAGCCCGGTGACCAGCAATTAAAGGACAATTTAAAGTAGAAAAACAAAAACAAAAAGGTAAAACATGGGACTGCTGCGTTTTTTTAAATTGTCATCAGTTTTCTGTAATCAGTTTGTCTCAATGCAATACTTGTTTCTTTTTCTATTCGGACTGTAAAAGGTTGTCCTGTTCAATTTATTTTATTTTTATTTTATTTTTTCCCAAGAAAGAAATGTAAATATTTCAAAAGTAAGATTCTTTTTATAAAGAGAAAGTATTTGACAACACGAGAACATTTTGTTTTTGTTTCCCGGCTCATTCACATTTTACTGTTTCCACACCTGAATTTAAAAACAAACCCGGTATGTCGCATTATTCCCCCCCCCCCCCAGAATAAAACATTAACTACAGCTACAGCTGATTTGGCCCCAGCCGCAAAAGACGGTCGTTCTGTTTGTTTTCTGCAGAAATAAACTACCAGTGAACATTTAACAGTTGTGTGTTAAACATAAGTTCAAATAAAATGTTGAAATTCTGCTGTGATGTGTTGTAAGTGCTGCAAGACCGGAAGAGTGAAGC